TATAAAACTGAAGTATTTTTGGGCGAACTGATTAGGTTTGTTATGAATTGAATCGGTAGTTAATTCATTCTAAAGTAACTATGTGCTTAATAGGGATACTAGTCAAGTGTTGAATTATAAAAAACTCCTGTAATTAGGGTTCTTGAGATGACTAGTGACGTGATAATAGTAGTAGCGCAATGGTTTCAATAGTCAGAAATCATTATCTATTAGTGGTAAGGGATGAACCAGTTATCCAGATTGTTATAAACGTAAGGATGCCGTCGCCAATTGTTATAAACGTAAAAGAGAGGATGCTGGTTATAACTCTAGGGGTTTCTGTTATAACAGTCCTTTCATTTCTTACACGTATGTGGGATGTTAATTTACCTTAGACGAATATCTACACTAGATTCCCACCCAGTGTCTATTCTACAGGACTTCAACACAACTCAGATAAAGAACATGAGATTAGCCTGACTATAACGTCAATATATTTCCACACCAAAATCCGACACAAGGAACAGTCAATCAATAACTGTCCATCAACAAGGAACAGTCGATCATAATAAGGATAGGGGAATATATATATAACACATAACACCTGTCATTCCATCTAATGTCTGACTCATCAAGATAACCAATCACTATCATTCTCGCCCACACATCACAGATCAAATATAATAACTATCTTCATCGATATAAAGGTCTATAAGGAAGAGTTTTTTTGGTCTCATATATGATTTGGACTTGTTATAAACGGCAGGATACTTGTTATAACTCTAGGGTTTCTTGTTATAACAGTCCTTTCACTTTTTACACGTATATGGGACGTTAATTTACCTTAGACGAATACCTACACTAGATTTCCCACCTAGTGTCTATTCTGCAGGACTTCAACACAACTCAAATCAAGAACACGAGATTAGCCTAACTAGAATGTCACTATATTTTCACACCAAAATCCGACACAATCCAACAACAAGGAACAGTCAATCAATAACAGTCAGTATAAGGGAATATATAACACCTTTCAGACTACCTACATGTCTGACTCATCAAGACAACCATTGTCATTCTCGCCCATACATCAGGACTCATATGGACAAATTCTTTGGGAAGAGTACAGTATAGGGACCAAATTAAAACAAACACAACGAACAGTCAGTCAGTTCTTAGACAATCATAAAGTGCTTTTGTAAGTGGATAGTTTATGGTAAAGTAAACAATAATATTACATAGTTTAAATAGTTAGTGAATCTACTAGTAAACTGAATAATGGCATAAAACGTGATCCTCATGGATATAGACTATACGTCTTCTCGAAATCTTAAGAGGACGGAAACCGATTTCTAAGTCATTATAATGATCTCAGCTACAGATTTTTATCATGAACTGACAGCAATGGTCCAAAAAACGATTTATATTCATATGAACGAATGAATTTTGTGTAGATATCCAAGAAGTGATAGCTTACATTTGATTAGTTCGTCTATAATGTGTAGTGCTACTGTAACAATGCTTATTTCAGGGTTACGATTTTAACATAGTAATGATTCGGATATCAGATAAGTCATTCATCTTGAATTTTGCTCATAAACCTAACAACCATTTCCTCCATATTGACTGGACCGATAACTTTGCCTATTCTACCGGGCTAACTTATATATATATATATCGATAAATAGATAGTTTTTGTATACTGACTCGGTTGCTAATCTCAGCCTTCCATTCATTTCGTTTTCACACTCACACAGCAGGCTGAACTCATATATAGGAAGTGAGTATACCAGTACTTAAACAAGGTGACCGTAAAACATATATCAGCTGCCTCTAGGTAGAACTCTATGTGGAATCGTGAATAGCAAAATTTATAAGGCAATCAGGTTTGATTAAATCAATAAAAAAAATAGATCTTTCAAATCATAGGCTAAATATATATTTGTATAATTGTTAAACATTAGTGAAAGGGGAGAAATAAGATACTACCATAATGTAAAAGTGTATAAAAACACATGTCTGGTTCCAGTCGTAAGTAGCCGAATCAAAATCCTTCTGTCTGGAGAAATATTGAGTTCTCTAACAATTATCTATTAATATCAGAAGGAGTTTTATGGAAATTATAGTAATTTCAATAGTTGAGATCATGATCTCGCGAGATTCAAACCGAGGACCTTTGATCTCGAGCGCTTAACCCCTAGGCCACTGAACCGGCCGGTATCCAATGCTGTTAATGTTTAACTTCAACCAATCCACAAAATTGAGCGACACATTCACCATTGTCTTCAGTGAGTTACTATCTCACAACAAACCTGGTTGAACTCCACTGGTGACTGCTTCCCACTAGAACTCCAGGAAATATTTGTTGAAGCCACTCACTAGTGAGTATATGTTGAATAATATCAGAAGGGATTTTGTGGAGATTTTAGTAATTTTAATAGTTGAGATGACGAATCAATTGAAGCTACACAACAATGGAAAACCTGGAAACATTGGACGGCCGTTTCGTCCTATTGTGAGACTCCTCTTGCTTCAAGATCTCAACTATTAAAATTATTTATTATTATGTTCAGATACTTCACCAAAGGTTTATAAGATTCAATGAACATTGTAGACCTCTCAATATTTCTCAACAGTAACATTATACTGTACCATCAACTTTGAGTGATACTAAAAATAATTTCACCTATCAGCTAATGAGTTCATATAATGTTGGAATCAATAGTTTATCTATTGTATCAATAATGACTTGATCTAATTAGAAGTATATTATGAATAAAAAAGAAAAGGACACGGTTCGAATAGAATCTGTATTCCAAGAAAGAAGTAGTTCTGTATGACTTGTTCTTCACATTATGGTGTTACCATTAAATGATAGTCGAATATATATTTTACTATAGATTAGAAGGGGTTTTTATGGAGATTTCAGTATTTTCATAGTTGCATACATGAGTCAATTGAAGCTAGACCATCAAGAAAAACCTGAAAACACTGGATGTCTGTTGTGAGATAGGAACTCATTGAAGACAATTGATGAACGGCTGCTCAACATCGTGGATTGGTTGAAGTTAGACATTAACACCATCGGATGCCGGCCCAGTGGTCTATCGGTTAAGTGTTCTGGCCCGAGACTGGGTTCGAGTCTCGCGAGGCGAGATCGTGGACGCGCATTACGATGGATTGTTAAAGTTTCGGTTGATATGTTAAACCCATATAACCTTATTCTAGCTTCCGGACAAGACAATTTACTTATCCACCTTGAGTCATGTTTCGACCTTGTTCATAATTCACTTATTAACCCGGACTATTTTCTATATGAGCGTATTTGTGTGTACACTTCTTATTCTATTTATCATATGTCTGTCATTTATTTTTATATAAGTATAAAGATTAACGCTTGATTAAAGTGAGTTGGCTTACCCGCCATCTCTAATGCGTGTCATTTTTACTTCGCTCACTGATATTTGCTCATGTGCTTATAGCTTTCTGGTCTGAGTTAATTAACAACAAAACTGTAGTTGCCGCTTCTCTTTGCCTTCTGATTTTATGCACCGTTAAGATTTGTATTATAACAGTTATCGAGATGAACGATTAACGAAGCACGACACTACAGAATTGTGTTGTATAATAACATAAAGCAATTGAACCTCTACTAAGTGAATAATTAACAAGGTCGAAACATGACTCAAGATGAATAGGTAAATTGTCTTGTCCAGAAACTAGAATAAGGGTATATGGGCCTAACATATCAACCAACACTACAAAGATTTAAATTGTAATTCAAGATAACTTCTATAAAGTTCTTCACAAGATTAATACTAACTGGTATTATCCACTGAATAAACTATCTTGATCGTGATAGCCTTATCATCATAGAATAAATTTCTGCAAAAAGAACTAATCTGTAACAAATAACTTAGAAATTCTATTGAAAACTCATTAATCTTCAGTAAAAAAATATGGACCTCAGAATGGAAGTTCATTAAGACCTAGCATTGAATATATCCTACAGTACATACTGTAGAACATCAATGTTGATGATCTATGTCGAATGATTGCGGGCCTACTAGGAGTTAGACCAGAATGATGACGAACCAACTAACTTCGAAGTCACACCTCGCGATCAGCATCTAACGTGAATTACCCCCATTCGACGTATTCAAGTACTATGCCTTCTTTGAAGACTGTATAACCCAAAGGTCGTGATTACGTAAATATATTAGTAAGAATGAATACAGAGATGTTGATGAGACCAACACTGATGCACGTTGATTATTCTTGACCTTGACGGGGATCAATGATCTATCTGTTCAATATATTTAATGACCCATCCAACTGCCGGATGATTTTGGCTAAGGGTTCACTGACATTTCATTGATCCTACAATACTATATACAAAACTGGAAATCATAATAACCTTTAATTCACAAGCATTGTAAGCAAAGATGGGTAGTGGCTAGCAGTGGAATCCAGGACCCGCGTTTCGTCCTATTTGGGACTCGTCAGGTGGATGTACTCGCATCTCAGAATTGATGTTCACTTTGAGACTCGAACCTAGTACCGTTCGCTTCAAACGCCATCGCGTTATCCACTCGGCCACTGAGTCCTCATAGCCACTTGCTTGTGCGATGGGGTGAAGCTTAAATTCATTTAGTATTGTTTGTTAGAATCTTCCCATTGATGATTAAGACTGCAACTGGTTATTACACAAGCAAGTGGCTATCAGGACTCAGGAGCTTAGTTGATTACGTGATGGTGTATGAAGCGAAAGGTACTGGGTTGGAGTCCTGAGTGAACATCAACTCTGAGATACAAGTACACTCAGCTGACGAGTCCCAAATAGGACGAAACGTGCGTCAAACTGGATTTCACTGCTAACCACTATCCATCTCTGCTTACAATGCTTGTAAATTAAGGCTATATCGAGGCAATAAGCAACAGTATGCACATATGCCAATCAGAGACTGACCAGTTTCAGTCCTAAAAACATCGATGGGAAGATTCAAACAAACAATACTAAATGAACATAATAACCTTTATTGTTTCGTATAACATAATCATTCAATGTAAAAAATACACAATGAAAGAAATTCTAAACAAAATTCATTAACAAAGTAAATAAGAATAAAAACAAAGGTTAGTAGTATATGAAAACATTTAGAAAAAAAAAACCGTACATAACAAATGTCAGTCAGAATGTATGGTGACAAAAGCAACATAAGAAGAATTAGAAAAAAACAAACATGTCAATCCTAACAGGAATGAAATACCTAGTATAGATTTGATTCACTCGACTTTGGACTGTACTCATTCATATGTATTAGTGATATTATATGTATATATATGTATAGCCTAATTGTCTAAACCTAAGTAAGCTAAAGGGGAGTATGTGTGTGTGAGGGGATGAGGGGGTTCGAACTCACAACCTACTGGTTGAAAGTTAAGTATTACATTTTAATCTCTTCTTAAGCAGTTACAATAAATAGTTGATATGCATATTTGTATATATGAATATGCATTAGAATGTACTAGCAAGTCTGATTTAACAATGAAAACAGAGAGAGAAAAAAACGAGCGACAAGACACTGAATAAAAACTATGTATAGATAAGAATGTTTCATCTTTCGTTTACAAAACAACAACAACAACAACAACAAAAGCCCAGGAATGAGTAAAAAAGAAGACTATACTTAACAACAATCATACATTCTATGGTGGAAAAAAAGGGCTTAAAAACAAGAAGACAAAAGGGAGATAGGACAGAATATGATGATTCTGTCAACAATTCAATGAGATAGTTTTTTAATGTCTAGAAAACCTAATTACTAATGAATATGAAAAAAAGGATAAAGAAATTGACATTTGGAAATCATACTCTGTAAATAATCTACTTTTTAGGCATAATCATCATCATCATCACACACACATATCCAAGATATTAAAAGATAATCGAATTCAATAATAATCTAAATGAATTTCATAGCAAATATCAAATTCAATAGAGTAACGAAGTATATCATCATTTCAATCATTGATTTAATTAACTGTTGTTTTAAATTTGAAATTACATTTATGATCTTCTGGATGATGATGCCTAGAACAAAACCAACGTTCACATCTATATAAAAAGGGAGAGAAAGGAAAACACACACAGTAAAAAGCAAGTTTAAGAAACAATAGTAACTTGTAATACAAAAATTGATTAAGGTTATTTTCATAGTTGAAAGCGTGAGTCAATTGAAGCTAGACCACCATGGAAAACCTGGAAGCATTGGAAGGCCGTTTCGTACTATTATGGGACTCCTCAGCAGTGTGCATCCACGATCCCGTCTCGCGAGATTCGAACACAGGAGCTATCAGTCTCGCGCCGGAGCACTTAACCTATAGACCACTGAGCTAGCCGGTATTTAACGCTGTTAATGTCTAACTTCAACCAAACCATGATTTTGAGCAACCGTTCACCAATTGTTTTCAGTGAGTTGATATCTCTACAACAGACTTGGTTGAACTACAGTGGTCACTGATTCCCACTAGAACTCAAGGAAATATCTCTTGAAGTTAGTCACTAGTGAGCATATGATTATAGATCAGAAGGGGTTTTGTGGAGATTTCAGCATTTTCATAGTTGAAATCATGAGTCGATTGAAGCTAGACCACTATGGAAAACCTTGGAAGCATTGGGCAGCCGTTTCGTCCTATTATGGGACCCCTCAGCAGTGCGCATCCACGATCCCGTCTCGCGAGATTCAAACCCAGGACCTATCAGTCATGATTTCAACTATGAAAATACCAAATTCTTCATAAAACCTTTTCCGATTAAGGTTATTGACAATCTTTTGAATGTCCAGTAGGTATTGTTGTTGTATCCAAGACTTGATAATTATCCTGCTCATTTAGTTCGTGAATTTCGTTTCAAGACCTGTCTTTCATCATATTTATTTTTTTTTCTTACTCGACAATGTTGAACTGTGCTACATCAACCAATAATCTTTATAACAAAAAGTTGTGGATAACAACTACTGTAGTGTGTAACTTGGAATTTATTTTAAGATCATTTAGAGAATCCATAAATACATGGTTATCAATAATGTAAGGATGGCTGGTTGGCAAACTCAAGGAAGTCTCAAGAAGGTCAGAAAAAGCCGAAGACATTCCTTCCAATCACTGCTAGAGGAACATTCTAGAATGTTGACGTGTAGCTTCTCTATCGGCTGTCCGAAATGATGATTTACTTTTAGCCGAAAAACTATAAATACATGAGATTTTTGTACTATGTTTGATACTATGTTGGGAATAGCATTTCTACTTACTAGTCTTCTGTCTTATCTCTTGAGACGTTGCGGGTTCGATCGTTCAAGTAATCTAGTAGTACGCGGCATAGCAAGAATCTAAAGCTCTAAATATAACAGATAACCTTAGATTGTGGTGTGTGCTACTAATGTTGACAGATATAATTAAGCATGTATCATCAATTAAAAGCGGAATGCTTGACGGAAGAAGGTTGGGGAAATCGAAGACAATAAAAGCAGAGAGTGATTGGTGTAGAAATGAAGGAACAACAAAGTGTCAGACAATAGATCGACATTTTGCCTATGAAGTATTTACTGTATGGTTTTCAGATGTTACCATGATATTCTGTAATATTGTATTAAAATATATTTGGTTGTCCCCACTGGTGTTCTCGTTCACCACACAACTATAGATGTTTGAAATGAAATCTTTAGTGAAAATTACAGAAGTCATACGGTAAATAAACGGATAAATGACCTTAAGCTGTATGGTAAAACTGTATTAAACCGATGGCCTAGAGTGGCCAATCGAAAATTCAACTAACCGATACTACATATGACGGTCAAGTTAAAACGTTAATGAGGATACAAGCATGATAAGCAAATATGGATAGTGGCTAGCAGTGGAATCCAGTTTGACGCGCGTTTCGTCCTATCTGGGACTCGTCAGGTGGATGTACTTGCATCTCAGAGTTGATGTTCACTCTGGGACTCGAACCCAGTAACCTCGATTCAAACGCCATCGCGTTATCCACTCGGCGACTGAGTCCTGATAGCCACTTGCTTGTGCGACGGGGTGAAGTTTCAATTCCACTGCTAGCCACTATCCATCTTCGCTTATCATGTTTATGAATCAAGGCTATATCGAGGCAATACGCACAGTATGCACATATACCAATTAGAGATTGACCAGTTGCAGTCCTAACACATCGATGGGAAGATTCAAACAAGCAATACTAAGTGAAGTTAATGAGGATAGTTTGTTGTTGGAAATTACGATCTTAATTATATTTCGTGTTTCTAAACAATTCCATGATGATTTTCTTATGAAATGAAGTGTTCACATCAAGATGTTAGGGTTACGAGCTAAGGTTTAGATATGTTATAGATTATCATCGTAACCAATGGTTGGAGACTCTGTGTGACATGACTCAGAACCGATCACAATGGCGTAGGTGTATACAATCTTTATCTTCCCTTAAACCTTGAGATTAAAATTGCTTCATATCTGTCTTCCTTCCTGTACTATATCCATATATACAACCTTTTTTTATATATTGCCACCACTAAATTAACTATTTCTATGAATCTGGTATTCATCTTGTTGTGCTAACGAGATATGGCAACTTGGACCGATGCATATGTGTGCCTGCTCCTACGTTGTAGCTGACTGACTGACTGATCATTTTTGTATTCTAGAACTGTAGTCCAATTGGTTAATTGTGAGGTTACTTTAAAGATTATTTAGATCCTTCAGTATAGTATAGTTTCACCAGTTTTACATTTTTGATGATATGAAAATCTAAAGTTTTAAAGTAACAATTACTCAGTTCGATAGAAATTCTGTAATTAACAATGATTGGATGAATTGATATACAATTGAGTAAACTTGAATGTAATAATTGTCTACGCAAAATACTTCCGATCCGTTGGCCAGACACTATCAGCAACAACCTACTGTAGGAGAGAACAAACTAGATTTCAGTGGAGGAAGAAATCAGGAAGAAGCACAGGAAGTGAATAGAACACACATTGAGGAAAGCAATCAACTAAGCCACATGGCAAGCCCTCACATGGAATCCTGAAGGCCAGAGGAGAAGAAGAAGAAGAAGAAGACCAAAGAACACATTACACCGGGAAATGGAGACAGATATGAGAAGAATGAACAAAATTTGGATAGAACTAGAAAGGAATGCCCAGGACAGAGTGGGTTGGAGAACGCTGGTCGGAGGTCTATGCTCCATAACGGGTAACAGGAGTAAGTTTTTATAAAGAAAAGCTTTTAGAAAAATTTGGACTTATTCTAGTTAGAGAATAGGTAAGAATGTCAAACTGATAAAACCAATTTCATTTATTGTATGGAATTAAGTAGGAGTTGCAAATAATTAGTTGAATGAACAAATTCTGCATTTAACCATTGAAAATGTTGTAGATAACCTCAGAGTATAAATTTTTTAGAAATATTTAAAATACCTTGAAATTGATTAAACAATTTGTGGACGATCATAATTAGAACAATCTGAAGAAGTCTGGAATTTATGATGGACAAGGTCAGTCGTCCGATTATCTGCTTATATGTATGCATATTCAAGGTCACCACTACTGTGATTTAGGTTACTGAAATCCACATTAGTACATTACGATGGTCAAGCATTGAATGTATTTTAGTAGAAAATAGTTAAGGAGAGAACGGAAACGGCAAGCAATTGGTACGAAAATGCATGAACAATTATAATCGGAGACTATGGATGGATGTTTGCAGAAGAAACAGTCAAATTGAGACAATTGATTGTTATTTTGTAAATTAACTGTTCATTATATGGTTCTCATATTTTAATGAGATATTCTGTAATGTTATGCTTAAAAACATTCGATTGTCCTTACTCGTGTTCTCATTCACTATTATTACAACTATGAGTGAGATCATTTCATTCATGATTATTTTGAGAAAGTCAGAATAATAATAGATGGTAATGATTAATCATAATAGTAAATATTTTTAAGAAGCCATGACTAGTGGAGTTCAACCAGGTCTGTTGAGATAGTAACCCACTGAAGACAATACTGGACGGTAGCACAATGTCGTGGATTGGTTGAAAAGTTAGACAGTAGCACCTTTGGATGCTCGCCGGCTCAGTGGTCTAGAGATTAAGCTTTCACGCGCGAGATCGAAGGTCCTGAGCTTGAATCTCGAGATGCGAGATCGTATGTGCTCACTGCTGAGGAGTCCCACAATAAGACGAAATGACCGTTCAATGCTTTAATTGACTCATGAATTTAACAATTAAATAAATTTCAGCTTATTTGTTGGCTGAAGGGGCATTTTGTGGAGATTTAGTATTTTCATAGTTGAAAGCGTGAGTCAATTGAAGCTAGACCACTATGGAAAACCTGGAAGCACTGGGCAGCCGTTTCGTCCTATTATGGGACTCCTCAGCAGTGTGCATCCACGATCCCGTCTCGCGAGATTCAAACCCAGGACCTATCAGTCATGATTTCAACTATGAAAATACCAAATTCTTCATAAAACCTTTTCCGATTAAGGTTATTGACAATCTTTTGAATGTCCAGTAGGTATTGTTGTTGTATCCAAGACTTGATAATTATCTTCTCATTTAGTTCGTGAATTTCGTTTCAAGACCTGTCTTTCATCATATTTATTTTTTTTTCTTACTCGACAATGTTGAACTGTGCTACATCAACCAATAATCTTTATAACAAAAAGTTGTGGATAACAACTACTGTAGTGTGTAACTTGGAATTTATTTTAAGATCATTTAGAGAATCCATAAATACATGGTTATCAATAATGTAAGGATGGCTGGTTGGCAAACTCAAGGAAGTCTCAAGAAGGTCAGAAAAAGCCGAAGACATTCCTTCCAATCACTGCTAGAGGAACATTCTAGAATGTTGACGTGTAGCTTCTCTATCGGCTGTCCGAAATGATGATTTACTTTTAGCCGAAAAACTATAAATACATGAGATTTTTGTACTATGTTTGATACTATGTTGGGAATAGCATTTCTACTTACTAGTCTTCTGGTCTTATCTCTTGAGACGTTGCGGGTTCGATCGTTCAAGTAATCTAGTAGTACGCGGCATAGCAAGA